TCACTCTGGATCCCCATACCTCTGTTCTGTCTTTACCTATTGTCTAGAGACAAAGATCTCTAGGATGGTAGCTGCCTTTCTGGCTTGTACAGCATCAGTTAGCTTGCTGGGATTGAAGGTTGGCTCATTTGTAATGGTGCTAGCTTCAATAACCTGACTTGCCAGTGACATCTGTTGAGTCAGTGCCAGTGCATGAGTCCCTAGTCTCCCGTTGTGGGACTCACATTTCTTGTCTTCTTACCTTGAAGGAATTCCACGCGCTGCAGCGGCTTAGGGTAGAAGTGGCGTCTGACCCCATGGGCTGGAAGAATAGCACAGCTCTGATCTATGGGCCAAATCCCCTCCCCTCTCCCCCAACATACTGGATTGGGCACCCGCTTCATTTGGTCTGGGATCTGTGCTGCATCTGGGGCTGCATGCATCACAGATCCCAGAACTACCAGGGTGAACACTATGTGCAGTGCGCATCCTGGAGTGGGCACCTCGTGTAGTGCAGTCTGGCCAGGGTTGCCACTGTGGGGCACGATGCCCACCCCGGCTGGTCTGGGATCCACGACAGAAGCATCTAATGATTATACAGCACAGTCTGAGAACGGCTGAGGTGGACACCACGTTTTGTGCTCGCAGGGCTGATCCAGCATGCACTATGCCCCCTGTGGGTCTGCTCAGATGCAGGGGTAGCACTGGGGCCAGACAAGGGCCTCCATGGGCTGGATCTGGTCTGCAGCCCATATTTGCAACAGCTCTGGTCTAGGGGGATTAAAATGATGTGTCCCAAGTCATATAGACTGGAGGCTATAACATTAATTCAGGTCAAATAGCTAGTTACACTGCAAGGAGCCCTGTTGAGTAGGATCTGGTTCAATGCAAGCAACTTTAGCAACAAAGCTGAGAACAGAACACTAGTCTGGAGCCCTTCTACCCCTTCACTGCTTTATTTCAGTGTTTCAGGCAGGGTGGCACCTTCAAGAACAGTTAGTCTGACCCTCCTCTAGCACCAAAGACCTGCCCTACTTCCTGCCTGACGTCAGACTAACACAGCTAACTGCTTCCATTTCCAAATGAAGTGTTTCAGCTGTTCAAAACACTATCATGTTAAATTTTAACTTTAAATTGTGCCATGTTCTGTTTTCAGGTTCAGTTAACATGTATGATAACAAAAGAGTATTTGTTATAGATATTTGAAATACAAAGGGATATTGAGGGGGTTACCATTTTGACAAAAAAACAAAACAATGCCTCCCGCCACCCACCCACCCCAAAACAACAACAACAACCACTTAGGTGGGCCCAAAAATCATCTGGGAAAGAAATTATTTTTTTTTCTTTTAACTATAGCTGAACAAAAATCCATTATTACTACAGGTCATTTGCTGATTGTAATGCACTGGCAGGTTACAAGCAGTAAATATTGCCATGTATAAGCCAACCATGCAGACTTAAAGAAACAGGCAATACGAATAAATGTTTGTTGTAGCAACACAGCTGACATTTGTGCAGGAAAAAGTCACCTTTAAGCCATGAAAAACCAAGAGGAACACTCTTAAAGAAGGAGAAGATGCGGATCACATTCTCTCCACTTGGCATGAGGATAAAAATATCCAGCAGTTACATGGCACTCTAAATTAAACCTCATAAATATGCATTCAATTTGGATTTCCTAAAGTCAGTTAACCAAATATCCACGGATAATTAGAAAAACTTTATTAGACTTTATCAAGCTACAAAAGGAGAAAATATTGCTTAGCTATTATTCAACAAATGTAATTAGTTATCAGTTGGTATTTGCTTAACTAGCTGGTCTGGTTGTAGCTACAGAAGCACACATAAAACTGCCATCTGGTTTATGTTGCATTGGAGACACACCATGTTTTGTTTTCTTTTCTTTTCTTTTTTTTCGGCTGTTGTCACTGCCTCACTGCATGACACATCCTAAACAAAATTTGGAGACTACTGTCTATGCTTGCTGCTATCCAGGTTTTTCACTTATGGTCATACTTCTGTGGAGAGTCTGGTCTGAGCAAACCAAAAGGCAATGACTTTGGTAAAAACTATGGTTTGCTTGTTCCCCTTCATTACTTGTTATAATGCATGATATAATTGATTTACTTAAAGACAGATACTGTTACCTTTACTCACACTGAGCCCTATCTTTCTGCACCCACAGTCCTTCTGCCTTTGATGTAGTTTAGCTTTAAGGGTGCAGTTAGGGCTTGTGTTTTTTTGCTTAACAAGGGAAAGGATAAAACCCCAACAAAATATGATGCAAATAAGCCTAGGAGGGTAGCAGAGGTGACATGCAGTGCTTATGCAGTTACTATAAGAACACTATGATTTGCAGCGAACTCCCACAATGCAACAGCTATGCTATGTTACTCAGTGGACAGAAAAGAGCTCTCTTTCCCCCAGATTTCATAGTAAAGAGTACTTAGGCTTTGCTCTGAAAAATTTTTCTAAATGATGAATAGTCTCTTGAAGTCTGAAATCAGGCAGCCTGCAGCCTGTGTGTGTGGATGGTCATAATTACATTCTAATGGCAAAAATATATTCCAGACTTTTTCACTCCTGCTGTAGTACAGGCCCAGCATAGCTGTACTGGGGGAGGGCATGGGCACCCAAGTGATTGTCTTGGCCAGAAATAAGTGCCTTTCTCTGGCCAGACGGAGACCTTCTCCCCTGTGAGACTCTCAGCAATACCCCTTTCTCTTGGAGTTAAGTACCTCAACCTGGTTTGCACCTCTGTGAAAAACAAAGCTAGTCCCAACTAGCAACAGCCAAGTGGCTGTGGTAACCCTCCCCCTTAAGGGATGGAAGAGACCTGGATTCAAACCCTCCCTACCCAGTTTGGAGCATGCTTGTAAAGCTACAACCCAGGTGAGCACCTTCACCTGCAGTCTGCTAGGGATTCTGGGTCTAGCTCTATCTTGCCTCTAGGAAATGTTTTGTTTTGTAGAAATAAGTGTTCAGTGGGACAGAGAGTGAGGAGAATTACACTGACACTGAAGCCTGATCACCTGGGATGTTCAAGACTGATTCAAGCCTCAGCTCCCACAAACATGCAATCATTTTTGAAAAGTATAATAGCTTCAACAGGAGAGATTGGGAAAAACCCATCACAGAATACCCAAAGCCCAAAGGATTCACCTGGAAGAAGCAGTTTCAAAGCCTTCTAGCAAATCAGGCAGAAGCAAGACTTGAACCCATGCGCCCCACACTACAGACAAGTCACTTGAGACATGCACCTCCCCGGCAGTTTTATGTGGGCTACATTGATTTTAGGCATGCTTTGAGCATGCAATGGGATGCCCCCATTGACAGATAGGGTGGGGAACATCTAGCTGTAAATTCCACTTTGACCTGAGCTGCTCATTAAGTGTGGGCTAGCATTAGTGCAGGCCTGAGACAGAAACTGGGGGAGGCTTATACTGCTTAGTGATAGCACCCTGTGCTGCTACATGTATACTTATACCACTTCCCAAACCAGAAGTCACGTAGCTGCTTTAGTACAGAGCTGTGCACACTCTACTGAGAGGCAGAATCAGATAATGCATCAATGCAAATGGACTAAGGCAGCTACCGGGCTGCTAGTATGGAAAGCAGCACACCCAGGGCAGTATACCAAGGCCTGTACCATAACAGAGTAGTAGATACACTCCCTTCGGTACATATGGGACTGTGGTGCCTCTAGGTAATCATCTAAGCAGTGTTTTTGAAGATGTTGGGATGCCTAAACTAATAGATGCGGATCTGACAGAGTATTTAGGGGTCTAAGGCCATCCAATGAGATACAGATATAAACTTAAGAAATCCTCTTCCAACCAATCTAAGTTGACAGAGAAAAACCAAATGGAAGAGTCTTGAGTAATGAGTTCATCAGCTGGCTCCTAAGTAAATTTTCTGAGGGCCTAGCACTTTGTGTTTGTTTCTGCTAATATATAACCTTCATTCTTTTATTGCCATGCCAGGGGATTTCTCAGGTTAACTGCATTGGCTTTTGCAGGAATAACTAAGCTGTTACAAATGTGGCAAGAGGAAGGGAATCTCAGCAGAGGTCTGCTTGGGGGAGGAAAACGGAGAGATAAAAGGAATGCACCTGTGTTTGGGATAAGGCACCCATATAACTGTAGCACTGAATACTGGGTATTGTTTTGGTATCTGTCCCGTTATTTTATAACAGGGAGACAGATAATTCACTTAAATGGACTGCAGAGCAAGTTAAGTCAGGTGTTGCTGAATGGGCCTGAGGTCAAGTCAGCCCTTCCATGGGAACAGAGTAATAAATCTATCCTCTTGCAAATTACCAGTGCTTTCCAAACTTGTGCTTTTCAGAAACACTCTTTGGAAGTCCCCTATTAGTCCCTACATGGCACATAGGGTCTGACTCTCAACCTGATGGTAAGCAAAGAGCTTGCAGTTAGCAGTGGCAACACTAGTTAGGCAAGTTTGCACTTGTTTACAGGTGCATATTATTGTTCTGATAATGCCATGGCTTAGTTTTTGTTACTTTTATAAATAAAAAAAAATTAAGCTTATTTTCCGTCAAGGAAGTGGTACAGCACCCTGTCAGCTCACATACCAAACACACCAACTATCCAACTGCTTAAGCAGTGTTGGGGTTTCTAGAGATACAACAATTCAGTGGTCACAAATAAAAGTGCTTTGAGATTTAACATAAGATTACTGCACTAATGAAATAACAAAACAAACTATTCTTAAGTATCTTCTCAGTGTTCCTTTGAAAGATCAGGAACAGGAATAGGTTTTCCATCTGAAGTGTTTTTCCACAGAAAATTTGGCTTTAAATTAAACAACTGCATGTGAGGTTGTGTAAAAAGTGCCTGCTTTCCATAGAGAATTTTACGTTTTGAATTTTCAACATAACAATGTGTAAAAAATAAACATTCCAACTTGCTCTCTCCACAGACTTATCACATCAAAGTATAGACCCTGAAAAGCAAATAAATAACGAGGAAAGAACAATATTCACATTAATAACATACCTTGGGAGAGTTTCTGTCCCACTTCTATTGTAGCTCTTCCATTCCAGAATCACTACACTCCAGTTTGACTCTGGGGAGACTACATAATAGAAAGGCACTTGATGTATGTATTTCCCCAGGTATGTTAATTAAATCAGCTGACTTTCATTATAAAAATGAAATGTTCATCTGCATTTTGCTTTTCTCTCCACTACACTCAGTCCTGCAGACCCAACATCACCAAGGGAGAACAAGCTGTGGATTCTCCCTCATCTGGTACCTCCACTGGATTGCTCACTGAGTTCCACTGGGCTTCACCTGCGTGTTAACCCACTCAGGACAATAGGCCTGCACAGGTTTCATTGAGGTAGATTTGGGGGACCTTGGCTTACCCAGGTGTCACTGAAGGCCTGATTTAGCCAACAGAATATACAGATGATGAGGAATAAGGTGAAAAGAACACAAGGTGACTCTTGAAGGCCAGGCGGAGTTTGCAGTGTTGAGGGCTAAGTATTTTTTGTCATCTGAACACTTTTGATATAGAAATCATGAATGAGTTAGAGTTACTGTTCAGAGAAGAGCTACACTGTGAAGCCTCCCAGTATATTTTTAAGATACCATTTCAGTTGTAACATGCTCACCTGAGGCCTTTGAGGGTAGATCCACACAGGGACTTTGGCCTTCGGTATTCTAAAGCTTAACTTTAAATCCCCAAATTCACTGTTCATTCATGCCTAGTTGTAACTGTCTAAATTCCTAGATGCCTGAGTTTCTACTAAGAAGGCTTCCTACATATCTATGAATTTCTGCAGCTGGATATAAGTGCACAATCACCTAAATCTAGAAAGCTCTGAGCAGCTTGGCACCTGAACCCTGGAGGGCTTCACAAACCAGGTGTTCCTCTGTCTAGTGCACTTGTGGGCAGCATCTGACTCGCATACTATACAGGGGTGTGCGAAGTGGGTCCTATTCAATTCGGATCTGGCCCGAATCAGGGACAGTGATTTGATTCGTTGATTTGGATCACTGTCCCTGATTTGATTTGGCTGAATCTGAAGATTTGATGCTGACTCAGATTAAATGTTTTTTCTACATATCGAGGTACGAGCGTGGCTTGTGAATGCTGTGATGCTGGGACACATGGAGCTTCCCACAGGAGCGCAGGTGGGGAGGTGGCCTCCACCTGCTTGGCAGCAAACTGGGAAGTGGACTGGAAGTACTTCTGGTCCACTTCCAGGTCCACTGGGGAGCGCACTGGGGGGTCCCCTGGACCCTCCCTGGCTTGGCGATTGGCCATGGGGAGACCCTGGGTGCCCCTCCCCAGACCCAGGAGACACCAGTTGCTGAGCCGGGGGGACCCCCTGCGTGCTTTGTGGTAGACCCAGAAGTGGACTGGAAGTGCTTCTGGTCCACTCCCAGGTCTGCTGCCTCGCCCTTGCACTGGAAGGTGCTAAGCAGTTCATAATAGGCCCCTCTGCCCTGGGTAGATTGTCCGAACACCTTTCGCAGTGTCTGGAGGCACTGTTGAGTGGTAATGCTGGGGTTCTGGAGCTTGGCTGTCCTGATTACCCCAAATGCCAGTTCTTGAAGCACATCCAGAAGACAACAACGTTTTTCTTCGTCTGGTTTTTGCCATGTCATGAGAGTCTCTTGTACATGGGCAGCCCTCCAGTGGGGACTGGGAGGTTCCCAGAAAAGTTTCTTAGTCTTTATATGCAGCCCAGTCATCATCGGAGGGGCTGCATATAACAAAACCATTAAAGGGTAAGGACGTAGATTTTATATATATATATATATATGTAAAAATTTTCAAAAAAATTAATAGTATTTTATATATATGTGTGTGTGTGTGTGTATACACACACACACACACACACACACACACACACACACACACAGATATCATTTAATATACAGATGAACAATAGAATAAACCAGACCAAAGGATATTGATTGGGCAACCTTATAACTCTATTCATATACAAACTGTTACTTCAAATTATTCCCATAAACTGGAAGGCACAATCCACAAATATAATCAGCAGTCCTTAGACTACCTGGGTGCCCTCCAGGGCAGGGGCCCCACTCCCAAGGTACAACTACAGGTAAGGAGGTAGGAGGAAAGAAAAAGGAGAGGGAGACCCCAAAGACTCCTAAGCTCCCCCTCTATCACCCAGGAACAGTTTGCAGTCTTCACTCAGGTCCGGGTCAGCTCTTCTCTGCCACCCCTCAGGAAAGGGGCATGATGTTCTTTCTCTTGCTGCCTCCTGATTGGTGGATGGGCTCCACCAATCAAAACAGCAGGATCTCAAGCCTGGGACTCAAACCAAGGTCTGAAAGGTAAGCTTGTTACACAAATAAGGTAGAACAAAAATTTTAAACAGGTCTTACACTTCTTGAGAGAGCACTATAACCTCTGCCCTAAGAGTTGCAGCACCTTCAACTTGCTGTGTTCTAAGAGACAGTTTTATACCTAAGCTAATTCAACTCCAGGAGAGTGTTCATAGCAGAAGATGCTTATGCCCTTGGCATCCTAGGCCCCGCTATCCACCTCCAAATAAGAGCCAAACTTTAAAACGTCTTAATATAAAACTGCCTTAACCAAGCAGTTTGTCTAATATGAAAAAATCCACTTTGTTGTTATCAAGGTTTATGAAGGGATATGGATTTTGTGGAAATTAAACAGAGCAAAAAGTTTCAGTGCCCTTTGACAACTTCCTACAGTGCTAGAGTGGCCATCATAAAGGACAGTACGGTTGTCCTGTGTCCTCTACTGATACGAAACCCAACGCCTTTATGTCCTCTATTTTTCTCTAAAAGAAAAACACTGTAGGAGGTTCTTAAAGAGAAAAATAGAGGACATAAAGGCATCGCGTTTCGTATCAGTAGAGGACAGAGTAACAGAAAACGGGAATGTCCTCTATGATTTCATAGATGTTAGGGCTGGAAGGGACCTCAAAGATCATCAAGTCCAGCCCCCCTGCCCCAGGAGCAGGAAGTCAATAGGGTCAAAGGACACCAGCAAGATAAGCATCCAAGTGTTTCTTGAATAAGTCCAGAGTAGGTGCCTGCACCACATTTGGAGGGAATCTATTCCAGCACTTGGGGGCTTGGACAGTAAAGACATTTTTTCTTATGTCCAGCCTAAAATGGACTTGTAGGAGTTTATGACTATTGGTCCTTGTTTTTCCTTGGGGCACTCTGATGAACAGACATTCTCCCAGATCCTGATGAACACCCCTTGTGTACTTATAGGCAGCCACCAGGTCCCCCCTAAGCCTGCACTTTTCCAGACTGAAGAGCCCCATGGCTCTCAGCCTGTCTTCATAAGGCCTATTCTCTTGCCCTCTGATCATGCACATGGCTCTCCTCTGGACTCTCTCAAGCTTCTCTACATCCTTCTTGAATTGTGGAGCCCAAAACTGGATGCAGTACTCCAGCTGCGGCCTCACTAAGGCCAAGTACGGCAGGAGGATGACATCCTGAGATTTACTTGAGAACCATCAATAGATGCAAGTCAGGGTTTTGTTTGCTTTACCAGCTGCGACATCACATTGGTGGCTCATGTTCATCTTGTGGTCAGTCATGACCCCCAAGTCTCTTTCAGCAGTGGTGCTAGCAAGTGTAGCACTGCAGAGCCTATAAGTATGCTGAGGGTTTTTTTCCCCAGGATGGAGTACCTTACATTTATCAGTATTGATGGCCACCCTATACAGTATGGCCAAAAGGAGAACAGATGAGAAAGTGATTCACATGGTGCATAGAGTAGGTAAATTCTACCTCACAGAGTATATCTGCATACAGCACTTTTATCTAAATATCATTCTAGAAATAAAGGCTAATCTTTTACACGGCCCATTCCTTCCACTGGATGCTGAGACCCTGGCTGTTAAAATTGCATTAGCAATAGTCTGTTTAGAGCATCTGAGAGCAAGTACAGTTGTTACTAGCACAGCTTCCCTAACTAGTGCTAGCAGAGAAAGATTTTTCTTCAAAGATCCTGGATAGCAAAACCATGCTATATTCTCCACTTATTCTTTAGCATGATTTTGTAAGACCATAGTCAAAGTAATCATGAATAAATCTAGGTTTTTAAAATGCCCTCAGAACAGTACTCAGTCTTATACTAGAACACAGGCAATGCTCAAGACACTGTGGGCCAGATTCTGTGACTCTTAATTATGCTTAGTCGTAATGTCCTTGTAATGAGCAATGTCCTTGTAATGAATGGGAGTACTAGCAGAGATATTTACTAAATGTAAAGA